ATCTGAATAACAAGCCCTGAAGAACAAATTGAATAATCTAATTTAAAATCTGAAACAAACAATAGAAATTTACTAAACACTATATAACAAACTTGCCAGATCAACATAGATTTACAGTGCACCCAAAACACACATGGTAGGTGTCCCACTCTGACCCATTGTAAGCTTTATCGACAATCCTACCTATAATGTTGAGAAACATCTTGCTATTCACCTGAACCTATAATCAAAAGTTCAAGGGACTTTGTCAGGAAAATAAAAGATGTAAATATCAACTCCAAAGACATACTTGTTAGTTTTGATGTAATTCCGATATTCAGAAAAGTAACAACAAATGATGCTATGTCAGTACAATGCAATAGCTCCTGTTTCAATTAGATATAAAAACGGTGTATGTAACCCCAACAAGAAAACTGCAAATATATACATTTAATGTATCAAAAAAGACCAGAAGATGGTTCTATTCTCTGTGTTTTTTATTTTGTTCTAATTAACATTGTCAGTTATTATGCATACTTGTGATTTGCTACCTTGCTTATATGCTGATGTGATGTCTTATAAATAATCAGTTCATGGATACTATTTAATATTGAATACAAAATATTACCTAACCTATATAAAAGCCAGTGTATGTCATGTCTTGAAATAAAAGGAGTCACAAAAGCCAAAATGCATTTATCCTGATAGAAAATTTCAATTCCTATCTGACCATTACAATTTTAGTGATAGGGATGCAAGGGGCCATGGGGGGTACTGCTGCAAAACCTAATAATTGCAGTGGGTGGTAATACAATAAGCCTAAAGTAAAGACACAGTGTGGGATCACACAGCCTTGAGCCAAGTGCATAAAATTTATCATGAAAGTAATATATCAATTTAATTCTAAACTTAAATAATTTCTGAATTAAGCTATGTTCTGTTATCACCAATGTTTTTAATAAAAAGCAAACCTCTTTTATCAATGGGGATTCTAAACTATGGAATCAATAAATATTTTCCATATTTTCTATATATTTCATTTTATACTTTCAGTAAATAGACTACTGGCAATATTAGGTTATACTTTTGTTGCTAAGCGACATGAAAAAAAGCCATTGTTGGACATAGTGTTACTAAAACAGTGGCTTTTCTATATGTTAGAAGTTGTTAATCTACCTGATTTTTGCCAATAATTATTCTACGAATATGCCTTACAAAGGAATTTACTGATGTTTGACTGCCTCTTTGTTGGTCAAGCTTATTTAACAAAATTGATTTCAGTTAGCTATGAAATATGAGTTTAGGATATACTATGGGGTGGGGGTGGTAGTACTTACCCTGTCATTTTTGACAGGCTATACACTAGTAGTATAATGAAGCTTCTGTGCTACATTAAACATTTTATTCAAACTCATTTAATGTTAATGAATGAAACTAAAAAGGTAGTTTTGAGTATTGAACCTAAGTTATTATTTCTCTTTGTTTGAGCAATATACATCAAAAATTATTTACAAAAAAATACTAAATGATGAAAAATATCAGTCGATTTGCTGAAGACTAAACTTGATCAAAGATGTGTGTGTGTGTGTGTGTAATATTATTACATCAAAATTAAATACTTATATATATATATAAGTGACAAGATGACAATTTTTTTCATTTCAAAATGCTAAAATACACCACTTTTTTCACAGAGGAACATGCTCTTGAACTATTCTACTATGGCTTCACACCTGCTGCACTTGCCATTGACTATGGTGCTTTAAAAAATTACCTGACACTCAGAAATTTCTGGAGGAACTCTGCTACAACATGATGGATGGCACACCAATGGGTTCTCCTCTTTCCCCTGTTACTTGTGAAATTTTCATGCAAGATATTGAGAACAGTGCTTTGAATACTGCATTACACAGTCTTCCACACTGGTGGCAGGATGTTGATGACACTTTTATAGTGTGGGAAAATAAGCTTAAAAAGCTTAGTTTTCTGAACAATGTTCCTCCTTTCAGTTTACAGTACAAATGAAAAATGATGGGAAACCAAAGTTTCTTAAGAGCCTCATCATTAAAATTGACAAAGATCTCATCAAAACTTACAGAAAACCAATGCACAGGAACTAGTACCTCAATTACACCTCATACTATTTACAATCAGTCAAATATGGTATCCTAAGCTGCTTAAAAATGTTTGAAACTTGTGACTCCAAGTTCCTCAACACTAATCAAACATCTACACCACTTATTCCTAAAACTGGTTACCCCTCCAGTAATAAAAAACAAATCATCCCCTATGAAAGAGGACAACAAAAACTATCCATGATCATTCTGCCATATGTACCAGGGATTTCATTAAAAATTTGTTTAATTTATGGCAAACACAAAATTTGGACTATCTTCAAAAAGGACAGAATACTTAAACAGATTATAACAAAAGTAAGAAGTCCTGTACTTATTTGTGAGCAGAAACATGTCTTTTATGAAGTTAAGTGTAAATGCAGTAAAGAATTTGTCAGGCGAGTCAAAAACACCATTAAAGATTAGACATCAGAAACACCAGTGATTATCAGCTTCTTTCTATACCCAGCCTAAAAAAAACACTGAAATTGCTTTGTTCCAATCTCCTTTGTGTCTTTGTTGTTTTCTAGCAGATAGTGTTTACTTTGCTCATGAAGATGTTGCTGAAACTTCAGATTTTGTTTAAAATAGGTCATTTACTGCAGTTTCTTTCCCTAGCCAAGTGGATGATATTTGTTGTTTACAGCCTTTGTATGTTGTACAAGAATAACTAGTTATGTGGTGATACATTTTGTACCTGCATAGAACCCCAGAAGGATCAAGCAAAACATTTGTAATCTGTGTTTGACTAAACAGCTGAGTGGACAATTACAGTCAACTACTATTGGATTAGTGAATACATCAGCAAATTTCTTCCCTTGAAA